GGTGTCCTCCTGGCCCCACTGCTGGTCCTCCTGATGGCACCTGGTATTTCTGGCCACTGTGTGACACTGAGTGTTGGACTGGATGGGCCATTGGCCTGATCCAACATTGGTTTCTCTCTTATGTTCTTATAGGAACTCTCAGTCTGGGGCAAGGGATGCTCTGTATTCCTGGTGCTGGGGGGGGGAACAGTGGGAGGGCTTCTGGTGTCCTCCTGGCCCCACTGCTGGACCTCCTGAGGGCACCTGGTATTTCTGGCCACTGTGTGACACAGAAGAGTGTTGGACTGGAGGGGCCACTGGCCTGATCCAACATGGGCGTCTCTTCTGTTCTTATGTTCTTATTTGGTGGGCTCTGTAACTCATGTCCTCTCCCCAGTCCTGTTTGTAGACTTTGGCAAGTGGGACAGAAATCATCCATCCCTCCATCCTCAATCCCAGCAGTGGCTCCCCGGCTCCCCCTGGTGCCCCCTACATTTCTCCTTGGCTGACCCCAGACCAGTGTTCCCTCTAAACTGAGTTAGGGTGAGCCAGCTCACCGTTTTTTAGCCACCGGCTCACACACTCTTGTCTTAGCTCAAGAAGGACGGCTCCAGAGCAAACGTATTTATGCAGTAGCCAAATCGCTCACTCACAATTTTAATACCAGGAGCTCACCAAGTAGAACTTCTGCTCTCAAGACTCCACAGCTTAGAGGGAGCATTGCCCCGTACATTTCTCCTTGGCTGACCCAAGACCAGTGTTCCCTCTAAGCTGAGTTAGTGTGAGCTAGCTCACAGTATTTTAGCCTCTGGCTCACATATATTTGTCTTCGCTCAGGAAGGATGGGGCTCCAGAGAAAACTAATTTATGCAGCATCCAGATTGCTCACTCACAACTTTAATGTCAGTAGCTCACAAAGTAGAATTTTTGCACACAAGACTCCACAGCTGAGAGGGAGCATTGCCACAGACAGTCCCACGTGGCCAATAACAGGGAAAAGAGCTGCCCTCTTTCCGTCGGCCCCCTCTGTCCCCCCCCTTCCCTCTGGAGTCAAAGGGACTCAGCTCCTGAGAGAGGAAGAGCATGAGGCTTCATTCTGGGCGTGTACAGAATGCTGCAGGGACTAAGGGAGTGGCCAGGGCTCTCCCCTCAGAAGGAACTGTGTGCGTGTGTGGGTGGGTGTGGGTGTCCCCAGGTCCTTTTACCCTGGATGCTGCTACCCCCATGTTATGTCCGCTGACCGCCACCAGGGGCCAGCGAACACCCCAGAGCTTGACTCTGGAAGAACAATGGGGACTAGGCTCCTGGTCTCTCCACTGGGGAACCAATGGGCACCGTGGCGGGAGATTTAAACCCACCAACGGGACCTAGGGGGGCGTCCCCAGGTGTGTACATAGTTGGCCAGCCGGCCGTGAGTCTTTGTCTTTTGTGGTGTAGCAGTAAACCATGCTGATCACTACATCGGTCTCAGTGCGTCTAACGCACGACACTTCACCCCAACCACGACAGCAACATACTTGCACAGATGTGTGAAAGGCACCCCCTTCCCCTCACCTCCTCTGCCCGCCAGATGTTGGCATTCCAGAGGGCAGGCTTGGAGGATATTGTTCTCTGCACACCCCGAGTCGGTGGAGGGTGTCCTGCCTGCCTTTAAAGGGAGTCTCGTGTGACACATGATAGGGTTGCCAACCCCCAGGTGGGGCCTGGAGACCTCCAAGAGTTGCCACTGATCTCCAGACGGCAGGGATCAGTTCCCCTGAAGGAAATGGCCGCTTTGGAGGGCTGATATTCGCTGTCATTGCCTGTCAATTTCATTTCCTCCCCTGCCCCCCTTTCCCACCGCTGCCAACCCACCACGTCCGAGCCCGGCAGGGTTGCCAGTTTCCTGGAGGAAAAGCCGTCCCTCCAATGGAGGCCCGAAGGGATGTCCTTTACCAGGGGGGTGTTGTCCACCCACCTTCCTGCAATGGGAAGCTTCAGCCGGCCTCCTCCTCCTCACACTCCTCTCCCGTTCCTAGCATGCCCTGAGATGTGGGACACATGCCCCGAAGCAGAGAGCCAGTCTGGTGTCCTGGTTAAGTGCACGGACTCTAATCTGGGAGAACCGGGTTCGATTCCCCCACTCCTCCTCCACTTGCACCTGGCTGGATGGCCTTGGGCAAGCCGTAGTTCTGATAAGAGCTGTCCTTGAAAAAGAGCCGTTTCTGTCAGAGCTCTCTCAGCCCCGCCTCCCTCACAGGGTGTCTGTCTGTTGGTGGGAGGGGAAGGGAAAGGGGTTTGTAAGCCTGTAGTGTATGCTGACCACCACCAGGGGCCAGCGAACAGCCAGAGCTTGGCTCTGGAAGAACAATAGGGACTAGGCTCCTAGTCCCTCCACTGGGGAACCAATGGGAACCATGGCGGGAGATTCAAACCCACCAATGGTGACCAGGGGTGTGTCCCCAGGTATGTATATAGTTGGCCTGCCGGCCGTTTGTTCCTTGTTCTTGTTGTGTACCAAATAAAGCGTGCCATGCACCACGTCGTCGTCGGTCGTTTATCCATGCGGCAACCCACTACATAACAAAGCCGCTCTGAGACTCTCTTGTGTAGTGAAGGGCCCGTCCAGTCCAACACTCTGTGTCACACAGTGGCCAAAAACACCAGGTGCCCTCAGGAGGTCCAGCAGTGGGGCCAGGACATTAGAAGCCCTCCCACTGTCGCCCCCCCCCCCAAGCACCAAGAAGACAGAGCATCCCTTGCCACAGACATGAACATGAGAGAAGCCAATGCTGGATCAGGCCAATGGCCCATTCAGTCCAACACTCTGTGTCACACAGGGGACAGAAATACCAGGTGCCCTCAGGAGGTCCAGCAGTGGGGCCAGGACATTAGAAGCCCCTCCCACTGTCACCCCCCCAGGCACAAAGAATACAGGGCATCACCTGCCCCAGAGTCCCTATCTATTCCTTGTGGCTAATAGCCACTGCTCTGCTCCATATGCTTATCCTATTCCCTCTTGAAGCCGTCCGTGCTGGTACTTAAAGATACACACACACACATCACAGGGCCAATGAGAGCAGGGAAGAGGGCCGGGGCGTCTCAGAGCCCACCAGCTCGTTGCCTTCAGAGACGAAGGGCACCCTTCCCAGCCCTGGCCTTCCTGTTCACACCGAGAGCCCCCGCCCAGGAAGGCCCAGCTGGCGGGCGTGTAGAGCCAGCCTGCAGCCTGGGCCTCCCGAGAGAGAGGGGCTCAGCCAGTGGGCACCGTGGCCTGCCTGGGCCGTGGTCCGGCTGTGGCAGAGACCCCCTCCTCCTTCCCCAGCCTGCACCTGGCTCCGTTGGCAGCAGAGACAGAAGGAGGATCCCCAGGCAAGGGGGGTGGCCGGGGGCCCTCTCTCGGCTTGCCCAATGTCTGCCCACGGCTGGGCAAGGACAGCCCCTCCAGGGGGGGCAGGCCTGCCCCCTCTGCATCCCTCCCCATAGCGTGGGATGCCCCGCCTCCAAAGCAAGCAGCGAGAGTTTCCTGGAAGTGACTCCCCCCCCTCCATCGGGATAAAATTCCCAGGGACTCTGCCCCTCCTGCAAGGGTGCCAGTTGAGTAGGAAGAGGCGCTCTTCCCACTCTGAAGGCAACTGAAAAGCTGGCTGGCAAGGTGGGTGCAGGCAGGCAGGCAGGAGCCCACAGGTGGGCCACTCTTCCCCCAGTGGATCCTCAAGCAGTTGGGGCCCTGGCTTGGAACCTGGGCTTTTTTGGTAGAAAAAGCCCAGCAGGAACCCATTAGCATAATAGGCCACACCCAACAGCAGAAACTCATTAACATAATATGCCACGCCCCTGACAGCACAGCTCATTAGCATATTAGGCCACACCCTCGTGTTACCAGAAGTGTGGTCATCCAGCCACACCCACCTTTTGCTTCTTATTCTGTTTACTTTGTTGTCAAAACTCTGGGCTTTTTTTTGTAGCAGGAACTTCTTTGCATGTTAGGCCATACACCCCTGATGTAGCCAATCCTAATGAGTTTCTGCTGTTAGGTGTGGCCTATTATGCTAATGAGTTCCTGCTGGGCGTGGCCAATTCAGGAGCCAGCCCACTTCCTTCCTGTGTGTTCCTGCCCAAAAATAGCCCTGCTTGGAACCAACACTTCCTCTAAGCTGTGGAGTCTTGTGAGCAAAAATTCTACTTTGTGAGTTCCTGGCATTAAAGTTGTGAGAGAGCAATTTGGATACTGCATGAATTAGCTTGCTCTGGACCCACCTGGATCTGTCCCAAATCTACTAAGGATCCATTTCCTGGGGCCACTCCGATCGAGCCCCTATACAAACAATGCCGGGCAGACTGACAGATCCCCTATTTTGAAATAGTTCTGCACAGCTTTTTTGGTAGATGATGGCTCCAAGAGAGGGCATTTGTTTGCCTTTTGTTTTTGAGTTGAATTGAACCCAAATAGGAAGAAAGAGAAAGCTTCTTCGTTTCAAGTCAGAATCTTTTCAGTAGGACAAATAAGGCATCTCGGTCAGTCCTTGTGGTTGCATATCTTTCACTGAATGGCATTTGATGGCGATGGATTTGCTCTTTGGTTTGCTGCTTTCACCTTTGCGCATGGTTATGCAGGCCTGCTTGTCTTCAAACAAGATTATTGGTTTGGGTTCCTGTTGGGATTCTTATTAAGTAAGTCAGCAGAGTAAATATTAAGAGACTGAGTTTAAAATATAAGAGTTTACTATCAACCTAACATGGGGAAAAGGTACACAAGATATGAAAATAAGATCGATGGTCGTTTTGCAAACACAAGAGTCACATTACTTAAAAGAAAAATATCTTTACTACAAAACAAAATAAAGCATGGGTAGGGTACTTTGGATAAAAGGAATAAAACAAAAGTTTACATGCTTACAGTCACTTTCAGTACTACTTGCTAAGAGCTACATCTTTCTATCTTGGCTTCTAGCAAGGGCTTCCTGTCTGTTTCACACAAAGAGCCATAAAGCTTGTGAATACATGAATGCTAGATCAAAGCATTTCCACAGACACGTTGTTAGTTGACCAATACAAAGGTTACAGGTCACTTCATTAGGTTAAGCAACTCCCTCAAACTTTCCTGCTGTAGAATATATTATGTAACGTAACATCCTGTTTCCTAACAAACAACATTTAACTCTGTAATGACTGAAGTGTAAGCAACTTGAAACTCCAACAAGTTTGCTCTGGAGTCATCCTCCCGGAGCTAAGACAAAAATGTGTGAGCTGGAGGCTAAAAAACTGAGCTAGCTCACACTAACTCAGCTTAGAGGGAACACTGGTCGCCAACTCACCATGTCAGTCTGGAGAAACAAAACACAGTTAGTCCCCAGGGGCACTTTTAAGACCAACAAAGTTCTAGTCGGAGCATGAGCTTCCATGTGCACGCACACGGCTCCAGATACAGACCTTTTTTTTTAAGTACCCGAAGGTACGTATTTATTATTTTCTTATAATCCTAAACACAGACATAAGCCACTACAACAAACAACATATAAACCAAGAGATTTGTTACAGTTTGTTGCTACACCTAATCCATCGCTTCATTATTCTCTAATATTTGTTAGTATTCTCTAATTCCATTATTATATATATTACTACATACTCAAATACTATTTTTGCTATCTTTAACTCCATTCACATTATACCAATCATATAGTCTCTTCCAAGTTTTTTGAAACGTCCATTTCTTCGTACCTCTTATTTCCATAGTTAATTTATCTATTTCCGCCGCTTTGGTGTAGTGGTTAGGTGGGTGGACTCTAATCTGGGAGAACCGGTTTGATTCCCCACTCCTCCGCTTACACCTGCTGATGTGACCTTGGGTCAGTCACAAGCTCTGGCACAGCTGTCCTTGAAAAAGAGCAGTTTGTGTCAGAGTTCTCTCAGCCCCACCTACCTCCCAGGGTGTCTGTTGTGGGGAGGGGAAGGGAAAGGAGTTTGTCAGCCGCTCTGAGACTCCAAGTGAAGGGGGGGGTATAAATCCAATCTCTTCTTTTCTTCTTCTTCTTCTAAAAGTTTATTAATATATTCCTGTTTAGTTGGTGTTTCTTGAGTCTTCCAGTATTTGGCATATAATATCCTTGCCACCATTGACATACAAACAATCAGGTATCTATCAGTTTCCTCAAATTCTTTCGGAAAAATATTTAACAATAGCAATTCTGGAGTAAAGGGGATATTACATCTTATTATTTTTTCCATTATACAGTGCACCCATTTCCAAAAAATGTTTTGAAACATCACATAACCACCACATATGGTAAAATGTGCCTGTCTTGTTTTTACACTTCCAACATTTATCTGCTCCAGATACATACCTGAAGAAGTGTGCACGCACACAGAAACGTATGCCCAGAATTAAACTTTGCTGGTCTTAAAAGTGCCACTGGACGCAAAACGTGTTCTATAGATTCAGGACAGGGAAAGGAAAGCGCTTCTTCCCACAGGGCACAACCTTAGTCAGTGGAACTGACTGCCACAGGATGTGGGGTGGGGTGGGGTGGGCTATTCCTCGGTGGCTTCTGGTGGGATCAGGCAAACTCATGCACCATCCGTGTTTGTCAGCCACGGCCTTTGAGTCAGCTCCGGTTGGTGTGCTAAATGGGCTTTTTCTTGGTGATAGATGATATAGCTGCATTTATCAATGTTCCCTCTACACTGAGCTTAGTCTTTGTGGGGCTGCTTTTGAAGACTGTTTGGAATAACTCAGAATTGGGTCTTTTTTTGATAGTCTCCTGTCATCTCCAGGCACCAGGCAAAGGAAGTGGTTGTTTCGCTGGTTTGACTATTGCGTAGTCAACGGGTTTCTGCTGGATTATTTGGCGTCACTCAGCTGCTGACCTCTTTGTGGTTTTAACTCCTTCCCTGCACACCTTGAGAATTGCTTTTTTGATGGAATTGTTAAACCGGATTGTTTGTTTTGTACCCTTTCCTACTTTTCAAATATGCTACTTTTTGTTTGGACTCCTAGTAAGGATACAGGTTTTATCGGCACCTACTTCTTTTTTTAAAACAACAACAACACAGTGTTGTATTTCTAATGCTAAGAATGGGCTGGCAAAGCCGTCTGCGATGCCAACTCCCTGCCAGGTGCCCACTACACCTCGCCTTGCGCGCACACACATGCACACACCGCTTTCCTCCAGGGCTTGTGGAGCTCTTTGGCCGAGTTTTCCTTATGCTCTATCCCCAGAAAAGATGCTGCCCGCAAGGCCTGGATCCTGGATCCCTCTGGAGACTATTACTCCCGGTGGCTCAACGTCATGGTGGCCCCCGTCATGTACAACTGGATCATCCTCATCTGCAGGTAAGGCCTGGGGAGAGGGGAGGCTTGGCTTGGTGTAGCCACTTTGGTGTGGTGGTTAAGTGCGCGGACTCTAATCTGGGAGAACCGGGTTTGATTCCCCACTCCTCCTCCAGTTGCACCTGGCTGGGTGACCTTGGGCAAGCCGTAGTTCTGACAAGAGCTGTCCTTGAAAAAGAGCAGTTTCTGTCAAGAGCTCTCTCAGCCCCCCCCACCTCACAGGGTGTCTGTTGTGGGGAGGGGAAGGGAAAGGAGTTTGCAAGCCGCTCTGAGACTCCTTTGGGTAGTGAAGGACAGGGTATAAATCCAATCTCTTCTCTTCTTCTTGGGCAGAGCCAGTCTGGTGTCCTGGTTAAGTGCGCAGACTCTAATCTGGGAGAACCGGGTTTGATTCCCCACTCCTCCTCCACTCGCACCTGGCTGGATGACCGTGGGGACAAGAGCTGTCCTTGAAAAAGAGCAGTTTCTGTCAGAGCTCTCTCAGCCCCACCTACCTCACAGGGTGTCTGTCTGTTGTAGGGAGGGGAAGGGAAAGGAGTTTGTAATCCGCTCTGGGACTCTCCCTTGGATAGTGAGGGGCAGGGTATAAATCCAATCTCTTCTTCTACCTCCCAGGGTGCCTGGATGTTGTGGGGAGGGAAAGGAGATTGTCAGCCGCTCTGAGACTCCTCTGGGTAGTGAAGGGCCATGGGGTATAAATCCATCCTCCTCCTCTTCTTAGAGAGCCAGTTTGGTGTCCTGGTTAACTGCACAGACTCTGATCTGGGAGAACGGGGTTTGGTTCCCCACTCCCTCCACTTGCACCTGGCTGGATGACCTTGGGCAAGCCCTAGTTCTGACAAGAGCTGTCCTTGGAAAAGAGCCATTTGTGTCAGAGCTCTTTCGGCCCCACCTGCCTCCCAGGGTGCCTGTTGTGGGGAGGGGGAGGGAAAGGAGTTTGCAAGCCGCTCTGAGACTCCTTTGGGTAGTGAAGGACAGGGTATAAATCCAATCTCTTCTCTTCTTCTTGGGCAGAGCCAGTCTGGTGTCCTGGTTAAGTGCGCAGACTCTACAGCTGGGGGGGGCCCCCCCTGCCCCCCCCCCCACACACACACCTTTGCCTCCCACTATCGGCCTCCAGCAAGGACCTCCGCGTCTTCTGTGCCCCAGAAGGAAACCCTCGTGGCAGCTCAGAGCCCCCTCCTGTGGGGTGGGGAGGAGAGGAGGGAGGGGCCGTGGGGGGCGGCAGGCAGCTTCCTGAGCGCGCGCAGAGTGCTCTGCCTGCCGCCGTGCCTGGTCCGACGGCTTGACCCGATGGCCAGTCCTCTGCTCCGCAGCTTCTCCACCAGAGTGCCCACGAGGGGATACCCGCTTTGCCCGGGCACGTCCAGAGGTCTACGAGGGGGGGGGGGTTCTTTCCCCTCTTCTAGGGACTCAGAGCTCCTTTTGTTCAGACCAACCAAGAGAGCAGGACGCCAGTTTGGTGTCGTGGTGAAGTGTGCTGCTGGCTCTGACCTGGGAGAACCGGGTTTGATTCCCCACCGCCGCCTCCACTTGCAGCTGCTGGATGACCTTGGGCAAGCCGTAGTTCGAGGACAGTCCTCGAAAGAGCTCTCTCAGCCTGTTGTGGGGAGGGGGAGGGAAAGGAGATTGTCAGCCGCTCTGAGACTCCGAGTGAAGGGCGGGGTAGAAATCCAAACTCTTCCTCCTCTTCTTCTTCTTCTTTGGAGAATTTTGGAGTTTTGGGAGAATTCTGGAGAACTTTGGAGTCCTCCAGAACTCCCAGGGTGGGTGTTCCAGAAGCCCCCAAGGAGGCCCGTCTCCCTCTGGCCGGGCTCTGGGGGCCACTGTCTCAGCCTCCTGCGCGGAATCCTCCGCTGACTCCCACCGCCTTCAGAGGTCTTCCTTCGTCAGCCTTTGCCCTGGCACGTCCAGAGGTCTACGGGGGTTCTTTCCCCTCTTCTAAGGACTCAGAGCTCCTTTTGTTCAGACCAACCAAGAGAGCAGGACGCCAGTTTGGTGTCGTGGTGAAGTGTGCTGCTGGCTCTGACCTGGGAGAGCCGGGTTTGATTCCCTGCCGCCGCCTCCACTTGCAACTGCTGGATGACCTTGGGCAAGCCGTAGTTCTGTCAGGGCTGCTCCCTCCAGGACAGTCCTTGAAAGAGCTCTCTCAGCCTGGCCTACCTCCCAGGGGGTGCTTGTTGTGGGGAGGGGGAGGGAAAGGAGATTGTCAGCCGCTCTGAGACTCCAAGTGAAGGGCCGGGTAGAAATCCAATCTCTTCTTGGAGAATTTTGGGAGAATTCTGGAGAACTGGAGCCCTCCAGACTCCTTACCAGGGTGGGTGCTCAAGACACCCCCAAGGAGGCCCGTCTCTCTCTGGCTGGGCTCTGGGGGCCGCTGTCTCAGCCTCCTGCGCGGAATCCTCCGCTGACTCCCGCCGCCTTCAGAGGTCTTCCTTCGTCAGCCGTTGGCGGTTTGTGCTCAGAACGGGGTGCCTTCCACAAAAAGGTGCCAGGCCAGGGATGCCGTGGGATGCCAGGATTGCCAGCTTCCAGGTGGCGGCTGGAGATCTCCTGGAATTAAAACTGACCTCCAGACGACAGAAAATGGAACCATGTCTGGCATTATGAACAATGCTCCCTCTAAGCTGTGATGCCTTGTGAGCAAAACTTCTACATTGTGTGCTGCTGGCATTAAAGTTGTGAGCGAGTGACTTGGCTACTGCATAAGTTAGTTTGCTCTGGAGCCCTCCTTCCTGAGCCAAGACAAAAACGTGTGAGCCGGAGGCCAAAAAACTGTGAGCTAGTTCACACTAACTCAGCTTACAGGGAACGCTGATTATGAACCCGCTGATTTCCCTCCCCTTCCCCAACGCCTCCCTCCCCAGGCGCCACCCCCAAATCTCCCGGAATTCCCCAACCCAGAGGTGGCAACCAGGGTTCCCTCTAAAAGCCGAGTCACACTGTGTGAGCTAGCTCACAGTTTCCTTAGCCTCCGGCTCACACATTTTTGTCTTAGCTCAGGAAAGAGGGCTCCAAAGCAAACTCATTGATGCAGTGGTCAAATCGCCCGCTCGCCACTTTAATGCCAGCAGCTCACAAAGCGGAATCTTTGCTCACAGGACTCCACAGCTTAGAAGGGAGCCTTGGTGGCCACCCTCTGCCAGCCACGCCCTGTGCCCCCTTCTGCTGTCCACAAAGCGCTCTTCACAGGATGCTGAGGAAGAGGCCTGAGGAGCGGCGCGCGTGTGCCAGGGCGGATGAAGGCCTGAGCGGTCCCCCCCCCCAGTCCTTGTTAGCCTAAAGGAAGAGTCCTTGACAACTTGCTGTGCCTGCACACTCCGACTGCTGGTCTCTTGTCAGGACCCACAGCCAAACAACGGAGCACACGCTTCCAGGAAGGTTTTACTTTTATTGAAAAGCCATAGATGCAATAACAGGAACACTGTTAGAAATGGCGGGCTTCCTATGTGCCTAATAGGATATAGGGCATTCGTATGCGCCCCCCACCCCCCAAGTACTAGCCAATTAGATGGGCTCCCACGTGCGGAAAGCAGGAATAGCCTCTAATGGTAGCAAAAGCTGGGAATCATAAAGATCCCACGGAAGGTAGACACCACACTCCTCCAGTACCTCTTTACAGATAAGCGTTGCAGCTGGGAAGCCATTAAGTGCATGGGAAGGAATGCATAACAATCAGAACGTCTCTCTCTATGCATGGCAGCTTAGCTGACATCTCTGTAGAAGGCATTTGGATTGGGGGGGCCCCACAGGTGTGGCTACCGACTTCCCCCCTCTTTTAAGGAGGTCCCACCAGACTCAGACTTGGGAGGGGCACCCTTTCCCGAGTTCCAGCACCCACAAAACAGAGCCTGTGTTTCTGAGAGGAAGGAAACCAACGGAGGTGCCTTTGGGACTGCCATAAGAACATAAGAGAAGCCAATGTTGGATCAGTCCAACACTCTATGTCACACACAGTGGCCAGAAATACCAGGTGCCATCAGGAGGTCCACCAGTGGGGCCAGGACATTAGAAGCCCTCCCATTGTTGACCCCCCCCCAAGCACCAAGAAGACAGAGCATCCCTTGCCCCAGAGCCCCTAGCTATACCTTGTGGCTAATAGCCACTGATGGACCTCTGCTCCATATGCAAATGAGCGGGCAGAGGGACAGCCTCCTGGACCTTATTTCTTGTTGGGTCCGGGGGGGGGGGCTGGAAATGCGCTGGACTCTGCGGGTTGAGTCAAGAGGTGTTGCTGTTGCTGCGTCCCTCTCGTCCGTCTGCTCCACAAGAGAATTTTGGTGCCCTTCCCCTTGGCCTTCCATGGACATCTTTGATCATCCCCCTTCCATGGACATCTTTGATCATCCCCCACACACATTCGGTGGGGGGCACGTCTCCAGCCACCCCCAGACTTGATGGCGTGGGACTTTCTCACAAGCCCTCCTCCCCCGAGCCCCCTGGGATTGTCTGTGTCTCAGAAGGAGGCGTTCCAGCAGCCAACCAGGTGAGGACTTGTGGAGTTGTGCCACACTGGCCATGGGGGCAGGGAGGCCGGTGTGGCCCACAACTGCTGTCCCAGCCATGCTGGAACGTGGCCTCACGTGAGAGGATTTGTGGCTCAGCTTCCTCCCCATCTCAGGGGGTGGGTGTTGCGACGTTCAGTGTTCAGGCTGTTGGATCCGTCCCACTTCCAGTGGCGGGCACCTGACGGTGGGGGCTTTGGGGGGGCGGCAGGGCAGTTGGCGCCCTGGACGGCCCGGCGCCCTAGGTCAGACACTAGCTGGCCTAGTGATAGAGCCGGCCCTGCACCTGACAAGCCCACCGATGCCACGTAGCCATGTCTGTCTGGTGTCTAGACAGAAACGTGGCCAGCTCTGTCCTGTTCTCTCCGTGCAAAAACACATCCAGCCACGGACAAAGGTGTGGGTGTGTGGGCCTGCAGTGGTGGTCGCTGGCACTGATGGCCGTGCGTGTTCCTGACTCGCCCTTCCTGGGCCTCCGCATCCCTGTGCGCACAGAACCTTCTGCAGGAAGGTCACCCGGGGCCCAGTCTTGGAGGGAGGGCTCCTCCCAGGGGAGAGGGAGTGGCGCTGCTCCCTCTCCGGAGGCTGGGAGGTCTCCTGCTGCCGCCTGGATTTTTCTGCCTGCCGCGGCTCCTCCCGCGTGGCCATGCGCTCTCCTGTGGCCCTGTTGCGGCCTCTCCTCACCACCATTCCAGTCCTTTGGGGTGTGCTGCCAGAGGAGGGGAGGACCTCCCCCCACCCTGATGCTTTGCAGGAGGCGCCACAAGGCAGCGTTGGCCCACGGAGGGGCTCGTGGGGAGCAGCCGTAGAATCATAGAATCATAGAGCTGGAAGGGCCCTCCGGGGTCATCTAGTCCAACCCCCTGCAAAAGGCAGGGAATTCACAAATGCCTCCCCCACCACGCACCCCCACAGTGGCCTCTGTTCCATGACCAGAAGATGACAAAAAATCTCCAGGATCCCTGGCCAAACTGGCCTGGAGAAAAATTGCTTCCTGACCCCAAAAGAGGGTTGGAATCCAAGTCTTATGAGGAAAGGCTGAAAGAGTTGGGTCTGTTTAGCCTGGGAAAGAGAAGGCTTAGAGGGGACACGATTGCAGTCTTCAAGTATTTGAAGGGCTGTCATGCAGAAGATGGAGCAGATCTATTCTCTCTGGCTCCAGACTGCAAGACTAGATCTAATGGGTGGAAATGACACGGGAGTCGTTACCGGCTAAATATCAGGAGAGACTTCCTAACGGTAAGAGTGGCTGAGCATAAGAACATAAGAGAGACGCCAACGTTGGATCAGGCCAAAGGCCCATCCACTTCCTTTTATCCGTTCTAACCCGACCGCTCAGCAATTTCATGGAGTGCCCACGGGTTCTTGTATTGTGAGAAAGGGAGAAAAGTACCTCTTTCTTTACCTGCTCTTTCCCATGCATAATCTTATAAACCTCGATCATGTCACCCCTTAGTCGTCTTTTCTCCAAGCTAAAGAGCCCTAAGCGCTTTAACCTTTCCTCATAGGGAAAGTGTTCCAACCCTTTTATCATTCGAGTTGCCCTTTTCTGCACTTTTTCCAAAGCTATAATATCCTTTTTAAGGTGTGGTGACCAGAATTGCACACAGTATTCCAAATGAGGTCTCACCATTGATTTATATAGGGGCATTATTATATTGGCTGATCTGTTTTCAATACCCTTCCTAATAATCCCCAGCATAGCATTTGCCTTCTTTATTGCAGTCACACACTGTCTCGACATTTTCAGTGAGTTATCTACTACAACTCCAAGATCTCTCTCTTGCTCAGTCTCTGCCAGTTCAGACCCCATCAATGTGTATTTATATTTAGGATTTTTGGCTCCAATGTGCATCACCTTGCACTTGGCCACATTGAACCCCATTTGCCATGTTGACGCCCACTTGCCCATCCTTGACAGATCCCCTTGGAGTGCCTCACAATCCTCACTGGTTTTCACCACCCTGAACAACTTCGTATCATCCGCGAATTTAGCCACTTCACTGCTTACTCCCATCTCCAGTGGAGCAGTCTGCCTTGGGAGGTGGTGGAAGCTCCTTCACTGGACGTTTTCAAGCGGAGGCTGGGTGACTCTCTTTCGGGTATGTTGTAGGTATGTAGGGCTATCTTTTGACCATGCTCCTGCAGAGTGCAGGGGGTTGGACTAGATGACCTCCAAGGTCCCTTCCAACTTTAACATTCTATGATTCTAAGTGGCGTTCGGCATTTCCCTGGGCGTGGAAGAAAGGGCCACAAGAATTAAGCACTGATGCTTCAGCCCTTCCTGCCCTCCCTCTCACGAACTGCCTCAGTTCACAGAATCAGCATGGCTGTCAGGTGGGGCCATCCAGCCTCTGCTTGAAAACCTCCCAAGAAGGAAAGCCCACCACCTCCCGAGGAAGCCTGTTTTAACCGACTCCGATCCCTGCGCAGCTGCCTTGGAGCCCCAGTTCCAGGAGGAGGGCAGGACAGGAAGGGAGACGTACTGCAGCAGGACCTTGGGGGGGGGGGAAGCCAACCCCACAGCCTGCAGGCGGGAACATTTCGGGGCGGAGGTCTGCGCTGGGTCAACCCCACCAGAAGAGAGCACCTGCCCCCAATTTGCTGGGAATTGGCCAGGAGGAGTCCAGCATCCTTCACCCTGGCAGGATTAGGTGGGTGGGGAAATGGCTGCTGTTTCCAGCTGTTGGGCTGGGAGATGGCACTGCCCCTCTGGTCTGTTTTCTCCCTGGGTTAGAGCTCAACGGGGGTCTGGAATCTTTCATGCCTTAAAACATGTCTATCCCATCTTCCGTCATGGTTCAAGGTGGCTTACAATGGCAGTGAAAAACATTTTCTGTTAAAAACAAAAAAAAGGGTGATCCCTTCCAAGAGGCCTGCCTTTCACCCCCCCCCTCCAAAAGCCCCAGCAAAGAGACAGGCCTGGCAGCACCTCCTGAATGTCGGAGGAGGGGGGGGCTTACCTCTTCAGCGAGCCCCTCCCACAGAGCAGGAGCCACGAGGGGCAAGGCCAGACGGGGCACTCTGAGCGGCGGGCGGGAGAGCCAGCAGATGGCTGCCTGATGAGTGCAGTTAGCACAGAGGGACCAGTGGAGGGAGACGGACTTTTGAACAGGTGCATTTATTTACTTTGTCCAGAAAGGGCCGCTCAAACCTCGGCTCGCCTGTAAGCCCCGCCAACATTTATTTTATTTTCTATTTATTTTATTCGTTTGATTTATACCCTGCGCTTCCTGTTGAAGCGGGCTCAGGGCGGCTTACATAAAATGTACATAACTACAATTAAAAGCATACATAAAACATCCAGGAAGAATCAGAAACCATTTTCGAAGTTCCAGAAACAATTAGAGTGCAGAGCGGAAATTCCTAAAACCAACCGTACCACTACTTAGGAATTAGTCCTGTTGGTATTCTCAACTGGCTCAATTTTGTTGTTGTTCAGTCACACAGTCGAGTCCGACTCTCTGCGACCCTATGGACCACCTCACGCCAGGCCCTCCTGTCTTCCGTTGTGCTCCGGAATTTGCTCAATGTCATGTTCGTTGCATCGATAACACACTGTCTAACCATCTCATCCTTTGCCGTCCCGGTCTTCTTTGACCTTTGATCTTTCCCAGCATCAGAGTCTTCTTCTCCAGGGAGTGCTCCCTTCTCATTTGGTGGCCAAAGTATTTGAGCTTCAGTTTTATTATCTGGCCTTCCAGGGAACAGTCAGGGTTGATTTCTTTTAGGATTGACTGATTTGATCTCCTTGCAGTCCAAGGGACTCTCAAGAGTCTTCTCCAGCACCCTAGTTCAAAAGAATCTATTCTTCGGCGCTCGGCCTTCCTTATAGTCCAACTCTCGCAGCCATACATGACTACTGGGAAATCATTCTAGTTGCCCTTTTCTGCACTTTTTCCAATGCTATGATATCCTTTCTAAAGTGCGGTGACCAGAACTGTACACAGTACTCCAAGTGAGGCCGCACCAGCGATTTATACAGGGGCATGATGATACTGGCTGATTTGTTCTCAGTTCCCTTCCTAATAATCCCGAATAGGTTTCCTTTCCAAACCCTTTGCCGGGCAGTTCATTTATTTCTTTTATCATGTCATGAAATATGTGTCGCTGTTTAATTATGAATTTGGAAAAAAGAATACGAAAGAGAAGCCAGTTCCCCCAAAGCTGATGTATGAACCCGATGAGATAAGCGCCTCCCTAGATCTAGACGGCATATTTGTCCTCATTAAGGCCAGCAGTCCTTTCATCAGATAAGAGTGGAGACGCCTGGTCTGGCCGCCTTCTGTGCCTTCATCCTGTTCCAAGAGGAAATGAAAGGTGCACCTCTGCTGATTAAGGTTTTCCTCCAAATGTATTCTTCTGTCCCAGAGATGTTATATTAAGTTAATTTACCTGTTGACATCATGTTCCAGTCTCTGTGGATCCAAAGGGAAACCAACAATCCTGTTTCCAAAGCTTAGCCTGCAAACTCCCTGCTGAGGCCAAAAGATTATTTATGCTTTTGAACTGACCCCTGCGAATCCCCTCTGAGGAACAGGCGTGCACTGAGAGGCCCTGGCAAGAAATGTAGGCCGTCTGACCTGGAGAAAATGCTTGGGGGTGAGGCGGTGGGAGGGTTGCTGGTTTGGGGCCGTGGTGGTTGGTGTTCCACACACCGTTGCACCTCTAAGAGAGCTGAGATTGTCGGTGACCTCTGGAACAAGTCGGCCAGGAATCAGGGGTTCCATATTCCGGGGTGTGTGTGTGTGTGTGTGTGTGTGTGTGTGTGTGTGTGTGTGTGTGTGAAGACATGCTCTTCATTAGCAGGTGTGGATTCCTTTTCCACTGTGGCCGTTAGCTGTCTCCTAGCCGTGCGCCATAGTGTTTAATGGTGTCACTGGTTCAATTTCGTGGAAAAGCGGTGTGTTGTTTTTAAATTAGTATATGCACAAAGTTCCCACAAAGCCCAGGCCCGAATAAAGGTTAATCGCTGTGGGAAAGTCAGACCTTCAAGGGAATTGATTGTGGAGATTATGGGAACAAAGGCCCAGATTTACAAACCCACAAATGCCACATTCGTTGCGTCTGTTGCGTCATACAGAAGCGTGATCAAATAGTGACAGAGGGCAGGCTTCCATTCCCTTGAACTCAGGAACAGGGTGCTTCACGCCATAACCACTCTCTTTTCCTGACATGCAGACCCCGCCCCACGAGATCTCTATGGGGACTCTGATGTATGGGGGGGGGGACTACTCAGTGTGGACAACTGGCGTGCTGAAGGTTGCCTGCCAAGGAGCCTGCTCCCCGGACAGGCCAATGGCCTTGTCGTCTCATTGGCCAGCAACGAGGGTGGGAGATTTGGTGGGAGAAGATGCAAGAAACAGAAACAGAGAAGCCCACAAACATTTCTGCTGCAAAACTATGTCCTGAGAACAGGCAAAGAGGATGAGGGAGGAACCCTAAGACAGGCAGGCAAACATCGGAAGGCCGTTCAATGCATCAGAAACTTATCACCTGAGGATCACAAGACAGAAGCAAACTCAGGAGTAGATGAGGTGAAGAAGGGACAGAGAATAATAGAATGTGAGAGTTGGAAGGGACCTCGCAGGTCATCTAGTACAGCCCCCTGCACTCTGCAAGAGCATAGCTGAAAGATAGCCCTACAACATACCCGGAAGAAGGTCGTCCAGCCTCCGCTTGAAAACGTCCAGCGAAGGAGCATCCACCCCCTCCCGAGGCAGACTGTTATCATTTGGAATACTGTGTGCAGTTCTGGTCACCACACCTTAAAAAGGATATTATAGCTTTGGAAAAAGTGCAGAAAAGGGCAACTCAATTGATAAAAGGGTTGGAACACTTTCCCTATGAGGAAAGGTTAAGGCGCTTAGGGCTCTTTAGCTTGGAGAAAAGACGACTGAGGGGTGACATGATTGAGGTTTAAAAGATTATGCATGGAAAAGAGCAGGTAGAGAAAGAGGTACTTTTCTCCCTTTCTCACAATACAAGAACTCCTGGTGGGCACTCCATGAAATTGCTGAGCGGTCGGGTTAGAACGGATAAAAGGAAGTACTTCTTCACCCAAAGAGTGATTAACACTTGGAATTCACTGCCACAGGAAGTGGTGGTGGCTACAAGCATGGATGCCTTCAAAAGGGAATTAGATAGGCATATGGAGCAGAGGTCCATCAGTGGCTATGAGCCACAAGGTATAGATAGGGGCTCTGGGGCAAGGGATGCTCTGTCTTCTTGGTGCTTGGGGGGGGGCGACAGTGGGAGGGCTTCTAATGTCCTGGCCCCACTGGTGGACCTCCTGATGACACCTGGTATTTCTGGCCACTGTGTGATACAGAGTGTTGGACTGGATGGGCCTTTGGCCTGATCCAACATTGGCATCTCTTATGTTCTTATGTTCTTACTGTTCCGCTGCTCAACCACTCTCACAGTTAGGAAGTTTCTCCTGATATTTAGCCGGGATCGACTCCCTTGTAATTTCCACCCATTAGATCTAGTCTTGCAATCTGGAGCAAGAGAGAATAGATCTGCTCCATTCCCCCCCCACACACACACACCTGATCACAAACTTGTCCACCTGGAGAACCTCTTTGAAGGACAGAAGCAAAACCCGAGGCAGGAGAAAGGGCAGGTGCTCAGTGCTGGTGCTAACCTGAGATCAACTTGGTGCCTCTCAATGCTCCCTCTAAGCTGTGGAGTCCTGTGAGCAAAACTTCTACTTTGTGAGCTCCTGGCATTAAAGTTGTGAGTGAGCAATTTTGCTACTGCACGAATCATTTTGCTCTGGAGCCCTCCTTCCTGAGCGGAGACAAAAATGTGTGAGCCGGAGGCTAAAGGACTGTGAGCTGGCTCACACTCACTCAGCTTAGAGGGAACACTGGCACCTCTCTGTTGTGCCGCTGAGAAGCCGGTCACGTTCATGGAAGCGAGATTCAGAAGGAAGCAGAAAAGCACCCAGTCGTTCCACAATCTCTCTCCACCTTCATCCCACCCCTCCCCCAAGGAGCTCAGGGCACCATTCACAGTTCTCGACCCCCCCCTCGACCCCCCCATTTTATCCTCACAGCAACCCTGAGACGGAGCGAGCGGCCCAAGGTCATCCAGTGGGCTTGGGGGCTGACTGGAGACTTGAACCCAGAGCTTCCTGGTCCTAGGTACTAACAGTACAGCACACCCTCTAGATGCCGCAGGGAGCCCATTTGTGCCACCGTTCCCACCGCCTGTGCACAGCTGGGAGAACAGAAGAGCAAGGCGCCCTCTTCAGAGGGGGAAGGGGGGGCCTGGGCCGCAGGGCACCACGGACAGCGACACACACCCTTGTCCGAGCCCCTCGGGACAACCTTCCTTCCCAGCAGCGCATTTTTCCTTGCTGGGATTTGGTGGCATTAGGGGGACAGCCTGTATGAAGAGCGTAGGGCCCGCAGGCCACGATCCCTCCCTTCGCGCGTGCCCCCCCCCCCCCCCCCCACCGCTCTGCCCTCTGTCTTCTCCCAGGGTTCCTGGAACAAGGGATCCTGATTGGCGACCGGTCCCAGATCTCTCGGGGCTACGTGCGCTCCTCCTGCTTCCTCTGGGACCTCCTCTCGGTGCTTCCCACGGACCTCTTGTACCTGTGGCTGGGCGTGGGCGTGCCGGCGGTCCGGGCCAACCGCTTCCTCCGGACCCCTCGGCTTTTCGAGGCCTTTGACAGGATCGAGACCCGCACGGCCCACCCCAACTCCTTCCGCATCGCCAAGCTGATGTTGTACATCTTCGTCACCATCCACTGGAACAGCTGCATCTACTTCGCCCTCTCCAGCTTCATCGGCTACGGGGCGGACGAGTGGGTGTACCCCAACACCAGCGTCCCCGGCTTCGACACGCTCGTGCGCCAGTACCTCTACAGCTTCTACTTCTCCACGCTCATCCTGACGACGGTGGGTGACACGCCGATGCCCCACCGGGAGGAGGAGTACCTCTTCATGGCCGCCGACTTCCTCCTGGCGGTCATGGGCTTCGCCACCATCATGGGCAGCATGACCTCCGTCATCTCCAACATGAACCAGGCGGACGCCGCCTTCTACCCCAACTACGACCTGGTGAAGGGCTACCTGCACGCGCACCGCGTCAACCGCCGGCTCCAGAACCGCGTGGTCCGCTGGTACCAGCACCTGCAGATGGAGAAGAAGATGACCAACGAGCTGGCCATTCTCCAGCACCTGCCCGAGCGCCTGCGAGCCGAGGTGGCCGTCAGCGTCCACCTGCCCACCCTCCGCAAGGTCCAGATCTTCCAGAACTGCGAGCAGAGCCTGCTGGAGGAGCTGGTGCTGAAGCTGAAGCCGCAGGTCTACAGCCCCGGAGAGTACGTCTGCAAGAAGGGCGACATCGGGAGGGAGATGTACTTCATCCGGGAGGGGCAGCTGGCCGTGGTGGCGGATGACGGGGTGACCCAGTACGCCGTCCTGGGAGAGGGACTCTACTTTGGGGAGATCAGCATCATCAACATCAAAGGTAGGTAGGTAGGTGGGTAGGTGGCTGGGTGGGGGAGGGAGGGAGGGCGGGGCTCCCCCATCCCTTGAGGGCTGAGCGACATAGGAGGAAGACCCTGATCTCCCAGAGTGCTTTGAAGCAAGGCACTCTGCCTCCTGCCACCCACAACTTATCACAAGCACACAAGAAAGCCTTGCTGGTGGTAGACCACGTCACGGGCACTGGGCACTAGGGCCTTTGTAGAAAGATGAGGTAATGGAGACCCCCCACACACACACACACGCACTCTCTCTCTCGCTCCCTCCCTAGGACAGGGGTGTCAAACATGTGGCCCGGGGGCCGGATCAGGCCCCCGGAGGGCTTCCATCAGGCCCGCAGTGGAACTGGCCATCTCCTGCTTCCAGTTCTGCTGCTGCTGCATCATCGCTTGCTTCGCCAGACTCTCTCACTCGCTCAGCAATTTCACGTCCTAACCTGGGTCTGAGACTCAGAACTTTGAGCATGAGATTTCTGTGGTGAATGGCAATACATCAAAAGTAGGTTTGCAGCTTACAGAACTAAGGTTTTAAGCGTGTTTTTATTTTAAGTTAAAAAAAAAACCCTTTGTGTTTGCGTCCTTTATGAAGTTTATCTCTCTGCTACCTGGCATTACATTTTATGACACACACGGCCCGGCCCAACAAGGTCTCATTTATGTCAGATCTGGCCCTCATCGCAAATGAGTTCGACACCCCTGCCCTAGGATATTCAAGGCATGCAGGTGAATTTTCCCACCCGTTTTCTGAGCAGCCAAGATGGCAGCCCCTGCCACAGCTCCATCCAGGCAGGGGCTTCTGTTGTGTTCCCCCTCCTGGAGCAGGGTGAGGCCAGAGGCCAGGGGCAGTGGAGCCAGAAGGGAGGGGCAGGCAGGGGGGACGGACATTCTCCCAGCAAGACCTCTTGGCCTGCCTGGCCAGGCCTTCAGCAGCCTGGCAGCCATTCCCTGCGCCCTGGAGGGAAAAAGGGAAACATAACAGAAACGTTGAGCTGGAAGGTACACCCAAGGGTCATCTAGTCCAGCCCATGGAAGAAATGGCCACGAGAGCAGAGCCCTACCTCACCCCTTCCCTGCCCTCCCTTCTCATGATCTGCCTACATTCACAGAATTCACAGGATGTAGGCAGGGCTCAGCCTGGCGATCCCCCCCCCCCGGTACCCCTGGGCCACCCACGGCGGATTCCTGCAAGCCGTCCATTCCTGCAAGCCCTCCACTCTGCCCCTCCTGGCCTCCCCCTGCATAGCCAGCCCTGCCTTGAGGGGGGGTGGGCTGGCTCTCCATTCTCTGTTTCAGCCCCCAAACCTTGTTCTCTCCCCCCCCCGCCCCCCACCGCCGGGTCCTCCAGGGAACAAGTCGGGGAACCGGCGCACGGCCAACATCAAGAGCATCGGCTTCTCGGACCTCTTCTGCCTGTCCAAGGAGGGCCTGAGGGAGGTGCTGGCGGAGTTCCCCAACGCCAAGTCCGTGCTGGAGGCCAAGGGCCGAGAGATCCTGCTCAAGATGGACAAGCTGGACGTCAACGCGGAGGCCGCCGAGATCGCCCAGCAGGAGGAGGAGGAGCGGCGGACGGCTGCCCTGGAGGAGGGCCTGGACGCGCTGCAGACCAAGCTGGCCCGGGTCCTGGCCGGGCTGGAGTCGAGCGCCTTCAAGATGGCCCTGCGCCTGGAGCGCCTGGAGTGGGAGACTCGGGACTGGGGGGACGAGGAGGGGGAGGAGGAGCAGGAGCCGAGCAGGGCGGAAAGCACGGAGCCATAGCCCGACCCAAGGAAGCCACTGGCGCTGCCAAGCGTTTGCCCCGCTGGCCGCTAAGCCACGGTCCCTGCGGGTGCGGTGCCGGGCATTCCCCCCCGCCCCGACTGTGTGTGTGTGTGTCGTCCCCCCCCCGCGGTGTGGTTCGCTCTCTGAGGCGGCTGCCCCACTTTTGACCGAGCGCCTCCTCCCTGCACGGGAAGGATCCGGGCCTCGCCTTCTTTCTCCTCACTGCTTTCAGGGTGGAAGGATTTTACGAAGTAAATTGAAAAGGCATTGAGTCACGTGAGCTCCACTCCCCCAGATCCTTAGTGGAACAGCCGGGGAGCGGTGGCACAGGGGATTTATCCTCTGGTTAATACATCTGAGCTGAACAGAGCTGCTGTCAGTTCTAGCCCCGCGCTGGTGTGAGCTACCAGCCTTGTCCCCAGCTTGCCGTCCACCCAGCGGTTCGAAAGCTTCGGCGAGTAGATAAAATGGGTACCACTCCTTAGAGAGGGTGGGCACACTAAACCCCCCCGTGGGGGAGGTGTTAGCCAGAGAACGGAATGTCCAGCTTGTAAGACCAAAAAGCTGCCCTAGAAAGAACTCTTCGGCATCAAAGAAGCCTGTAATGGGCCGTCCGGCCAGGCGATGGCAGGGCTGCGCTGCAACTTGAAGCAGTCCGGCGGAAGCTGAGGATAGCTGACGACATCAAGCCACGCTGAGGGGAAAATGCCTTTGGAACACGTCTGACCTTACAGCTGAACAAAACTCCCCATCGGCTGCGAACGTGTGTGATTTAAAGATTATAGGTTGTCCTCCCTTACCCCTTGAATCATTGTTAGTCCCGTGGGTAATGGAGTAACTGTAAATCGCTCAGAGCCAGCAAGCTCTGCAGGATTGAGTGATTAATAAATTGAAAGATTTATTTATTTATTATTTATTTAACAGCCCAGACCAAAGTTCACCACTGGGAGCTGAGGCCCTGCGTGGCGGGAGGGGGGGCATTTTCTCTCCCAGTCTCCTCCCAGGCCGCCTTGAGGGGGTGTCCTGTACTGAGCCGGGGGTGTCCCAGAGCAAGTTCCCAGAGACTGGCTGAGCTTGTCACTCCAGAACAATAGCCACCTGGGTGCTGGGAGGCGGCCAATCAGGAGTTAATGGTTCAGTACTTGTCCCTATAGTACAAATGTGGGCTTTGCATGCTATTTAAACAGGGCCCTTTCTGTCAAGGGCTCTCTGAGCCCCGCCTACCTCACAGGGGGCGTCTGTCTGTTGTTGTGGGGAGGGAGAGGGAAAGGAGTTTGGAAGCCCTCTGAGACTCCTTTGGGTAGTGAAGGGCCATGAGGTATAAATCCAGTCTCTTCTTCTTCCTGCCTGCCTGTCTTGTTCCTGAAATCACTAAATAAAGCCGAGCTGTTTCACTGCCAGGTGTCTTGAAACCAGTGTTTTACACTGGCGGCGAGGATGCTAGGAAACTGCATCCTGCTTTGCCAGTGGGTGGTCAGCTCCAATGCCAGGGGTCCAGACCCCCAGGCTTTGCAAAATGCCTGTCCCAGTACCCCTTCCTGGGGCTTTCGGTCACGGAGGAGAGGAACGGCCTTGCCTTCGCTCCTAAGCAGCCAAAGAGTGCAGCAGAGCAATCGGCGGCTGGACCAGGGAGTAGGCAGGCAGACAGGAGTCATTGGAGGGATCTCCCCCCTCCCTTCTCAGAGACCGGGGCCAGGAGGACGGGCCCGGGCCCGTGTGAGAGGAGACCGGAGGAGACGGGGCTTACCGGGAGAACAGAGTGCAGAGACGCTGCCGACGGCGGGGACAGGTTCCCCGGGCTTCCCGGAAACGGCCACTCCCCTGGGCTTGCCCATTCAGGGCCAGATCACGCAGAACGTGCAGGAGGGCGGGACTGAGTGGACGACACCCAATAGGGCCGATAGGACAGGTGGGGGACAGGGGAAGAGCCCAGTCAGGTACTGGGAAAGGAAAGGGGAGGGATTACCTCAAGGCTAGAGGGGGATAAAAGGAGAGAGGCCAAGAGGACCGGGGAGGATTTCGGAGGCGACTGGCTCTGTCGGTGAGAGAGAACCAGACGCGGCTGTCGACCCTGAGGAGCGGATGGCTGAGAGCGACGTAACTCCCCCACCCCTCCATATCTGAGGTTCTTGCTTCTCTCCACTACCGACCATCAGCAACCATGGCACACGCCCCTCCAAAGCTAGGGGACACCCCCAGGCGTGACATGTGCCTTTCGTCCCGCTGAAGCAGGGGTGGGCTTCTGCCAATCTCCAGCCGATGCCTTTCTGCATGTAACTTAAACCCGTTGCTTCGGGTCCTCTCCTCTGCTGCCCACTGGAACGGCTCCTTGCCCTCCTCCTCCAAACGACAGCCCTTCAGATATTTAAGGAGAGCCATCATGTCCCCCCCCTCAGTCTCCTCTTCTCCAAACTAAGCATTCCCAGGGCCCTGTCGGCTATGCTGCCATGATGTTTATGGGCAAGAGCGCATCTGCTTGAACTGTGTACCAACTGCTGCCGCATTCCTTCGCCTTTATTATCTCTGACCTTGCAAGCTGCCCGTGTAGCGCCTTCCCATCATGTACCTGTGGGATTAGTTTCGATTCCCAGCTTTGGCTTTAACGGCCTGGGGCCCCATTCTCCCACACGCGGGAGTCAGGCCAATTGGGGGTTGGAAGTCAAACCGGATGGATGTTGGTACCGCGGCAACAAACTTTTTGTCCCACATTCCCTACGGGGGGAAGTATTGAACGCGGTACATGGCTCGAAATTGGCCGGTCACCCCGGGTTTGTTAAGTCCTTGCAGCTGCTGCAAAGACAGTTCTGGTGGCCACAGATGTCAAAGGATTTGTCAGCATGTGTAAAATTTTGTCAAACTTGTGCCATGCGCAAATCCAGACCGGGTGACCCCCCGGGATTGCTGCAACTTCTCCCGACTCCAAGTCGGCCGTGGGAGGCGATCTCCATGGACCTTATCACGGATTTACCCCCCGAGTAAGACTATGTCGGTCATTTGGGTTGCCGTGGATTTATTCTCTAAGCAAGCACATGTTGTCCCTTTCGCTTCCCTACCCACGGCAAAAGCCCTGGCGAAAGCTTTCTTACCCCACGTGGTCCGCCTACACATACTCCCGGCTAAAGTAATTTCCGATAGGGGGCCCCAGTTCATTTCCCGATTCTGGGGGGAGCTGATGAAGCTTATGGGGGTTGAACATGCGTTAAGCAGTGCCTATCATCCCAAGACTGATGGACTGTTGGATCCCCAAGCATCGAGAATAAATCCACGTTTTCAAGAAAAGCAAAATTTATTTCAAAGCGTTGAAGACATACTCAAACACGTTCTTTGTTAGAACTGGGGATACACAGTTAGGTCAAGCATAATAAAGGAAATTCAAACAGATACAGATCCAATGAATAGCATTCCCGCTGGCGGGCTAATGAAACGGTTGCGCGCCCAGTCCATGGGAACCAGGCAGAACATCAGACAAAACACAGGTGCAGGACTCATGAGAAAAGCAATAGGCAAGCATTACAGCATCTTCTCCCCCACACAACCTCCAGCAGTTATCTTGTGCATTCCAACGCAGGAGCAGGATGATAGAAAACAAGCCGGGTGCAACAGGGAAAGGATATGTACACAGAGGTCACAGAAAACAGAATGGCAGCTTGCTGACATACTGCCCCCCTTAAAATACACTTACAACACACCTCCCGGGTCGGGCGGGAGATCTCCCGGGCTGGGCGGGAGACCTCCCGGTTTGTCCGGGAACCTCTTGTGGAAACTACGGATCAGGTAAGGGGCCCGAATATCCCCTTCTTCCACCCATTCGCGGTGCTGGGGACCGAAATCAACCCATTCGATAAGGTACCAGAGTTTACCACGTTTCAATTTACAATCAAGGATATCAGCGATCTCAAAATGTTCATCCCCTTCCAAAATGACAGGTGGAGGAGGAGTAACTGCTGGTCTCCAGGGAGACGGGCCAGGATCCTTCTTCAACAGGCTCATGTGAAAAACAGAATGCAGAGCACGTAAATTCTTAGGCAAAACAACATCAACCGCCACATCATTTATGACTTTACGCACTTTGAATGGACCAATGAACTTCCACCCCAATTTCCTGCTAGGTCGCAGCATCTTAATGTTCTTGGTCGAGACATACACAAGATCCCCAGGTTCTGGCCCCCCCCCCCCGCATTATGATCTAGGGCGAGGAAGGTTTTGAAATCTCGAAGATCTTGGACTCTAAAATCAAACGTGGGAAATTGTTTTACTTGGTGGAATGGCATGATTTTGGACCCCAGCACCATGAATGGGTGGAAGTGGGGGGTATTGGGGCCCCTAAGTTGTTGCGCATGTTCCACCGGGAGTTTCCGGAATAACCGGGAGACCTCCCAGAATGCCTGGGAGGGGCTGACTTCTGGGTGGGCAGAATGTCAGCTATGCTGCCATGATGTTTATGGGCAAGAGTGCATCTGCTTGACCTGTGTACCAACTGCTGCCGCAGTCCTTCGCCTTTATTAGTATCTTCCCATCATTTACCTGTGGGATCAGTTTCAATTCCCAGCTTTGGCTTTAACGGCCTGGGGGCCCATTCTCCCACGTGCGGGAGTCAGGCCAATTGGCCTAGGAGTGTGGGGGGGTGCATACGAATACCCTATATCCCATTATGCTTGTAGGAACGTAGTGACGATGTTACTGCCTCTATAGCTCTTAAAGGTAAAGGTAAAGGTTCCCTTGCTCGAAAGCCAGTTGAATCCGACTCTAGGGTTGCGATGCTCATCTCCATTTCAAAGCCGAAGAGGAGTTAGTGGCAGGAGCTGGAACTAGAGACGGGAGCTCACTCCGTCATGCGGCACACTCGGGTCTCGAACTGCTGAACTACCGACCTTCCACAGCCTGCAGTTCAGCGTCTTAACCATTTGAGCCACCGCAGCTATAGCTCTTCCAATAAAGTATAGCCTTATGATAAGCATGTACTCCTTTGTTTGGCTGTGGGACCTGACAGGCCCTCC